GGTAAGGATGGGTGCTCTGGGCCCTCCAGAGGAAACCTGTACCAGACGGGTGGCAGCCTGTGGAGAGCCTCCCTGGTCACTGCGTGCGACGGGTGCACTTGGCTGCTGGCCCCACCCTCTCATGGGTTAGATGCTGAGCCTCTTTGGCCCTTGCTTGCCTTCTGTGTTTTATCATATACTAGGCGCAAGGCTCATTGCGGGAAGAGAGGTAACGAGCCCTAGAGAGAGGCCGCCAGAGGCCCCCCCCAACACACTGGCAAAGGAGAGCGCGGCGGCTCCCCGAGCACAAGGGACGCACCTACCCGGCGTTGGAGTGGTGTTGAGGGAGGGAGTCCTGTCGGGGCCCGGTGCAGTGTCGCATGCGCTTGCTCGAGGGCCCGGCATGCCAAGGTGGCCGGCCTAGCCCCTCTCCCCAGCAGCCGGCCAAGCGAGCGAGCGGCACACGTGGTGGTGGAGCAGCGGCGAAGGATGCCCGCTCACCGCCCGTTCCAGCCGCGCGCAGGCCAAGGCGGGTAGCTGCGTTCCTCTCCACCCACCCAATGGCATACCAGTAGTCCTGACTGGCAGCCGACGGGCCAATGGCTGAGGGAGCGCATTCCATCTTGCCACCCCATAGGGCAGAAGTCACCCCATCAGCTTTATATATAAGATAGGACCTCTCTTTCTCCTCTCTCTCTTACCTGGGCTTTTGGAGCTGTAGCAAGTTAACATTTTTCAAAGTAAATCTGTTCACAATAATTTAAACGTGAGGTCATGTAAGATGTGCTGGTTCTTACCTTTAAAGCCCTATATGACTAGTGTCCGACATACCTGAGGGACCGCCTTTCCCCGAATATACCCCACTACGGTCTGGGGCACAACATCGCCTAGTGATTCCAGGCCCCAGGGAGGCCTGGCTTGCTGCAACCAGGGCCAGGGCCTACTCAGTGGCAGCTCCTACCTGGTGGAATGAGCTCCCGGACCTTGTACAGTTCTGCAGGGCCTGCAAGACGGAGCTCTTCCGCCAGGCTTTCGACTAGGAGCCGCCACTACCACCATCACCAACGAACCCAGCTGATAACTGGGAACGGAGTGGCCCTGGGACGATCGCACTTCAGTGGCGCGGCGGATCGGTACCGTTGTAGGCAACATCTACTGAACACCGTCTTGTCTTAATTTAAGAACAACAGCATTGAGCGCTTTATGTAATTTCGATATTTATTCTGTTGTATCTTGTTTTATTCGGTTTTATGTATTGGCACACGGTGCCCCTGTTTGTTAGCCGACCTGAGCCCATCCGTGGGGAGGGCGGGGTAGAAGTTTAAAGAAATAAATAAATAAATAAATAAAATGTGCTCCTATTTTTGTAAGTAAAATTTCTTTCTCTTGTTTCCATTGGGATCAGGTCACCTTTGTCATTTGTTTGAACAGCATTTTTTCCCCTGAACTGGGAAACGCGGAGGATCGGGGATACTGTGAAAAGCTTCTGTGCTTCCAAGTCAAATGATTTTTTTTTTAAACATTAAACCCAGTAGAAACTCCCAAGACAGGTATACAGCAATCACGGGCTGTCTACTCTGAAGTACACTCAGTGTCCAGACATTAGGGCTGAGAGACAGGAAGAGAATCACCGTACCGTAAGTCCTTTTTACCTGGCAACGGGACTCCGGCAAAGCTGCTGGTGAGGGCCTGCCGCAGGGTTTCCAGATGCTGCTGCAGCACAGTGTTGCGGCCGCGCTCCTGGATCACGTCCACCTCCAGCTTCTCCACCGCCGTGCGCATGCTCTCCACGTGCTTCTGCAGGGCGGCGTTCCTCTCCTCAAACTCCATGTTGGACTTGCGCAGCTGACGGAGTTCCGCTTCCCGCGCTGTCGGCCACCAACAGGGAAGGATGGGAGGGGGGGACGGACGGACAGACGGACAAACAAGCCTTCTAAGAGACCCACAACTGGATACGAAGAATATTTCGGTCTGTTTTGGTGTAGTGTTTAAAAGCGGCAGACTCTAATCTGGGAGAACAGGGTTTGATTCCCCATGCTTCCACATGCAGCTGCTGGTGTGACCTTGGGTCAGTCACAGTTCTCTCCGAGCTGCTCGCTCAAGAGCAGTTCTGGAAAGAGCTCTCTCGGCCCCACCTACCTCACAGGGTGTCTCGTTGTGGGGAGGGGAAGGGAAAAGTGATTGTGAGCCGCTCTGAGACTCCGAGTGAAGGGAGGGGTATCAACCCACAGTCATTTAGTGTTAGGAATTCCGCAGCAATGCAAAGGCAACTGACGGTGATATATTTATTTCCTTTATTTATACCCTGCCTTTCTCCAGTAAGGACCCAAAGCGGCATTACGTAGTTCCCCTCTCCTCTGTTTTATCCTCACTATAACCCTGTGAGGTAGGCGAGGCTGTGGGCCTGTGACTGGCCCAAGATCACTCAGCCAGCTTCCATGGCCCAAGTAGGGATTCAAACCTGGGACTCCCAAAACTTAGTCCAACACTCTAACCACTATACCACACTGGCTTCCTCCAGTGGGAAAAATATTTTGACAGCTGTAACAAAGGCGGTTTGTGTCCTAAGGAATACTGTTTCTGTTCCAGCATAACAGCATGCCTCAGTTTGCCACCACAGGAATTAATCTCAGGTTGGGGAGTATCCTTGGGTTTGCACATTGCGTACCCCCCCCAAAAAAATCTTCTTTTTGGGCACGGGCAGCTATTTAGGAAACATAAACCACTGCCTGCCCTTCTGTAGGAACCAGCTTGTTAGGGTTTGCATTTGCTCTGAAAACTGTATTTCCAAATCAAGTTTATTCCCAGTTTGGATTCCTGGTTCACGGGGGAAATGCAAACCACAGTGCACTGGATCGATCGGAAGGGCAAACTATGGATTGTCAGGAGATCTCTAATCAGTGGGCCACGTCCAAGGAGGGGGAAGGAGGGAGGGAGAAGACTCTTACAGTGAGGCGCAAACTGCGGTTTGCCACCAGGTCTGAACCAAGCACTGTTTGCTACCAAACTGGGAAAGGCCCATCCTTCCAAAACAATATGACAAATACAAAGAAAACAGCCTTAAAAGAGGTTGAACGGTGCCCAGTCCAAGCTCCTCTGGAACGAAAAAAAGATCAAGACCTGGAACGTGCTTCGACCAAAGCAGCTGCGCAAAAAAATGTAAGCTGGAACACGGTGGAGACCTCTTTTGACAAAGAGCACAAAGCAAGCTGATGGCCCTCTGCCATCCTTCGCTTTTACCACCGTTGCCCAGGAATCCATTATCATCTGCGCAACTCCTGAAATGCCTCCCTATTCTTGACACTGACTCCACAAGAGGCTCATTAAACCGACGTTCCTTGGACGGCCTGATCCAGGCCCTGGGTTATCACAGCAGGGGCACGTGTGGCTGCTGGCAGAAGAAGAAGAGATTGGATTTATACCCCACCCTTCACTACCCATAGGTGTCTCAGAGCGGCTTACAAACTCCTTTCCCTTCCCCTCCCCACCACAGGCACCCTGTGAGGTAGGTGGGGCTGAGAGAGCTCTTGACAGAAACTGCTCTCATCTGCGTGACTCCTGAAATGCCTCCCTATTCTTGACACTGACTCCACAAGAGGCTCATTAAACAGACGTTCCTTGGACGGCCTGATCCAGTCCCTGGGTTATCACCGCAGAGGCACGTGTGGCTGCTGGAACCGCATGAACCACAGTGGGATCCTGACCCAGGCATGGCTGCTACAGGGAAGGGGATGCCCCTCTTGCTACGGATCCTGGTGGGCGTTGGGAGCGTGCAGCCATGCTGCTAGGGTGCAGCATAAGGGGACAACGCTCGCTCCTTCAGAAGTCTCTTGCGCAGGAGGCAGAGATCCCGGCACGGGGGCCCAACCCCTCCTCCTGCACCAGCATCGGAGGCTAGAGGGGTCTCGACACCCACGGACCACCAGAGCAGACGCTCCACCTTGCGCTTGAGAGAGACAAGAATCCTGTGTTTCGATCTCTGTGCAGAAGCGAATGTGGGGCTCCTAAAGAGCACCAGTCGATGCTTCGGAGCACAAGGTTCAGGCATCCCAAAAACCACTCAAAGGGCTCGTTTGGATTGTTATCGTCTGAAGCCCCGGGACCTCTCAAGAACCGTGTGAATGTGCCCGGCCCTTCTTGTGGTCCTCCCCAGTCTCAAGTAAAGCGGGGGGGACGGGACGTGGGATAGGGCCCTTTTTTGGCAATGCCAAGATTCAGCCTTGAGAGAAGAAGAAGAGGAGGAGGAGATTGGATTTATCCCCTGCCCTTCACTACCCAAAGGTGTCTCAGAGCGGCTTACAGACTCCTTTCCCTTCCCCTCCCCACAACAGACACCCGGTGAGGTCGGTGGGGCTGAGAGAGCTCTTGACAGAAACTGCTCTGTTTCAAGGACAGCTCTTATCAGAACTACGGCTTGTCCAAGGTCATCCAGCCAGGTGCAAGTGGAGGAGTGGGGACTCAAACCCCGGTTCTCCCAGATTTCCAGCATAAGCTTAGAGCTCTGTGGATTCAGAAGAACTCTGGGGTCTGATCTTAATGACAGTCTAGTGAGGTTTAAAAAAAAAAAACTGTCATCATTTTCTTCTGATGGATTATACCTCTAATCTGGGAGACCCAGGTTTGATTCCCCACTCCTCCACTTGCAGCTGCTGGATGACCTTGGGCAAGCCACAGTTCTGTCAGAGCTGTTAAGGGCAGTTCTCAGCCCCGCCTACCTCGCAGGGTGCCTGTTGTGGGGAGGGGGAGGGAAAGGAGATTGTAAACCGCTCTGAGACTCCCAGTGAAGAGCGGGGTATAAATCCAATCTCTTCTCTTCCTCTTCTCTTCTTCCCCTTCTGACTCTCACAACAGCCCTGTGAGGCAGGCTAGGCCGAAAATGCGGTGACTGCCCCAAGGTCGCCCAGTCATGGCAGCAGGCAGATTAGAACCTGGGTCTCTCAGATCCTTGCCCGACACTCTTAACTGCTACACCCCGCTGGCTCTAGCGGTTAAGAGTGTCAGATGAGGAAGAGGTAGGCAATGGCAAACAACCTCTGAAATGTCTCTTGCCTTAAAACACAAAAGTCTACCTCGCCACCTAGTGGTGCATAACGCTAAAAAAGAGCTAGAACGTCTGACTGCAAGAAAATGTTAGGCTCTCCAGGCTATACGACACACACTGGCTCTCTCGAAAGACAAGCCGTGCTCTCAGTAAATAGGGAAAAGGACAGGAATGTCTTCCAAAAATAAGTAAAACAATAATTTCAGCGGAAGTGCTTTCCTCCCTCTCCCTCTCGGATCATCTTCTGTATTCTGCTTACCTTTACTGTGGTTCAGGAACTCCTCTGTGAAGATCGGAATATCAAACACGGACCGTTCCTTGGCCTCGGCTTCCTTCTGCACACAGACAAGGACAACGTTATATCTCGAGCGCTCTGGGCACGAGATGATGGACAGACTCAAACTGGTGAGCAGAACAGACAGTGGGGATTTCACACAGCACCTTTCCATAAACAAAGTCATAGGGGGTTAGCGAGGGGGGCTGGGGAACAGGAGGGGCCCCTGATCCTAGAAAAGCGATACTGATTTGGGTCACTATATTTTTCATCAATATTAAGGGGCGTTCTTCTCTGAACTGCACTTGTTATACCGAACGCCAAACACAGCCCCTTCCCCATATCTATATAGAAAGCTTTCCCATAAGAATGTAAGAGAAGCCATCCATGCTGGACCAGGCCAGTGGCCCATCCTCTCCAACATTCTGTGTCACACAGTGGCCCAAACCCAGGTGCCATCAGGAGGTCCACCAGCGGGGCCAGAACTCCAGAAGCCCTCCCACTGTTGCCCCCCAAGCACCAAGAAGATAGAGTGTCACTGCCCCAGACATAAGGACATAAGAGAAGCCATGCTGGATCAGGCCAATGGCCCATCCTCTCCAACACTCTGTGTCACACAGTGGCCAAAAACCCTGGTGCCATCAGGAGGTCCACCAGTGGGGCCAGAACTCCAGAAGCCCTCCCACTGTTGCCCGCCAAGCACCAGGAATACAGAGCATCACTGCCCCAGACATAAGAACATAAGAGAAGCCATGCTGGATCAGGCCAATGGCCCATCCTCTCCAACACTCTGTGTCACGCAGTGGCCAAAAACACAGGTGCCATCAGGAGGTCCAGCAGCGGGGCCAGAACTCCAGAAGCCCTCCCTCTATTGCCCCCCCCAGCACCAAGAAGACAGAGCATCACTGCCCCAGACATAAGAACATAAGAGAAGTCATGCTGGATCAGGCCAATGGCCCATCCTCTCCAACATTCTGTGTCACACAGTGGCCCAAACCCTGGTGCCATCAGGAGGTCCACCAGCGGGGCCAGAACTCCAGAAGCCCTCCCACTGTTGCCCCCCAAGCACCAAGAAGATAGAGCGTCACTGCCCCAGACATAAGAACATAAGAGAAGCCATGCTGGATCAGGCCAATGGCCCATCCTCTCCAACACTCTGTGTCACACAGTGGCTTAAACCCAGGTGCCATCAGGAGGTCTACCAGCGAGGTCAGAAAATGAGAAAAAAAGAGATGAGAGGTGGTCACACAGACCACCAAAGAGACAATAAGTGAGTTCTGATTCAAATCAAGCCTGAACTGTCCCTAAAAGCTAAAATGACTCAACTGAGACTGCTGTGCTTTGGTCATATCATGAGAAGACAAGACTCACTGGGAGAGACAATAATGCTAGGAATACGAGATGGATGGACTCGGCCCTCGGTTTGCAAGACTTGAACCAGGCTGTTAACAATAGGGTGTTTAGGAGGTCATTAATTCATAGGGTCGCCATAAGTCCGAAACGACTTGACGGCCCTTAACACACACGTGGCGACAAATTAGCTAAATTCAAATGAAGGAAATGGGGTTGATTCCGGCAGGACCTTATGGATCCTTAACTCTGCCTATGAGAGGCATCAGGAACAAAAACTAAAGCTCCAATCCTGTTACCAGGATATGAACCCCCCTGTACCGAGTGGGGCTCGCTTCTGAGAAAACAGGCATAGGATTGCAGTGTCCAAAGCAGGAGAAACCTTTGAGGGACGCTCCTCCAAGGACAAGCGGGCGCTACTTCTGAGTCGCAGATGGACATACAAAGTGATGCGGGATTTATAATGGACGGGACCTCGCGCCTCTCCCGTCTCGCACCTCGTCTCTTTCCTTTTCGCTCTGCGGGAGGCACTTAAGGGAAAAGGGGAGCTGGCGAGTTTGATCTCGCCACCTCCGCGCAGCTGCTCGGCGGAAGGGCATCTGTCCTCCTTGATTGCTTGCGTAGAGCAGAGCTAAAAGGGTTATCTAATAAACCTGACCTCTGGAGCGCTGCCCGCAGGCTCTTGCCAAGGTACGGCTCCGAAGAGGTTTTATTGTCCCACCTGTGCCCAGTGCAGAAGAATGGGGCAATGAAACATCATCCAAGCCGGGGAGGCGAGAGGGGCTGCTGCCGTTGGCCGGGGGTGACTCTTTCAAGGGCAGCTCTGGCCTTGTCTGAGGATTACATCCTCCAAGTTAATTCATCGTGTGTTGGCAGGTCAGAAGGAAACGGGAGCCGTGCGGTGGAAACTGACACGGTTATTCGGAAGGAAGAATGTTGTTTTCCTACAAAGGTAAAGCGGCTCTTCAGGAGTTTGGTGGGGGGAAACGTGCTGGTGGCAGATATTGTTATCTGTTAAACGCTGGCTATACAACCTAGCATGACGCAAGATGTCAGGCAACCGAAAATATTTTCAGATGTTGCAGGGTGGTGGTGGTGATTTAAGTGTCTAAATGTCAAGAAGGAGAAGGAGAAGAAGTGGATTTATTCCCTGCCCTTCACTCGGAATCTCAGAGCGGCTTACAATCTCCTTTCCCTTCCTCTCCCCACAACGGACACCCTGTGAGGTAGGTGGGGCTGAGAGAGCTCTTTCAGAACTGCTGCTGAGAGAACAGCTCTGAGAGGACTTGTAACTGACCCAAGGTCACCCAGCTGGATGCATATGGAGGAGGAGGAGTGGGGAATCAAACCTGGTTCTCCCAGATTAGAGTCTGCACTCCGAACCACTACACCCAACTGGAGGAGTAAGAAGAAGAGTTGGTTTTTATACCCCACTTTTCAGTACCCGAAGGAGTTCCAGAGCGGCTTACAATCTCCTTCCCTTTCTCTCCCCACAACAGACACCCTGTGAGGTGGATGGGGCTGAGAGAGCTCTTTCAAGGACTGCTCTAGAGAGAACAGCTCTGAGAGAACTGTGACTGACCCAAGGTCACCCAGCTGGCTGCATGTGGAGGAGTGGGGGAATCAAACCCGGCTCCCCAGATTACAGTCTGCTGCTCCTAACCACTACACCGAACTGACTCTTAGTAATGCTGTATTTTTATCCCGCCCATCCAAGGAGCTGTGCGGTGTACATCATTCTGTGTTGCCCGTTCTCGCCTCCCTGCAAACCTGGCTGAGAGAGCAGGACTAGCCCAAGGAAAACCAGAGAGCTTCCATGGCAGAGCGGGGATCTGAACCCAGATCTCCCAGGTCCTGGACCTTTGGCCTCGGATCTGTTCAGAGCACTTGAGAGTCCTACGTGGGCTCGAATGGAGTAGACTACAGCCCGTGGTTTAGTGGGCCACACAGCCAAGTTTGGCTTGAGGCTGACTGCGAGCAGCAAGTTAAGGCAGGCTGGGCTAAAACTTTGCACCAGGCCGGAGTGGTGCACTTGGATCTCAGAGACCAGGGTTTGAATCCCCACTGTAACACCAACCTTGCTGGGCAGCCTCGGACCAGTCACATACTCTCAGTCTAACCCACATCCCAGGATTATTGTAAGGAAGGTGTGAAACTGCCTTATACCGCATCAGACCATCCGTCCCTCAAGGTCAGTCTTGTCTAGTCAGACTGGCAGCGGCTCTCCAGGGTCTCAGATTAAGTTCTTTCCCATCATCTACTGCCTGGTCCTTTTACCTGGAGATACTGGGGATTGAACCAGGGACCTTCTGCATGCCAAGCAGATGATCTACCAGTGAGCCAGGGTCCCAAATCAAGGTCTTTCCCATCACCTACTGCCTGGTCCTTTAACTGGAGATGCCGGGGATTGAACCTGGGACCTTCTACATGTCAAGCAGATGCCTGGCCACTGAGCCAGGGTCTCAGGCGCAGGTCTTTCCCATCACCTACTGCCTGGTTCTTTAACTGGAGATGCCGGGGATTGAACCCGGGGCCTTCTGCGTGTCAAGCAGATGCTCTGACCCACAGCCCCTCTCCGAAAGGCAGGAAGGGAGAGATTGAAATGCTCTTAACAGACTGAGAAGTATTACAGAATTTGCTTTCAGTCCTACTGCAGACTGCACTGAGGACAGTATTCCAGGGAGACAAGAGGTGAAAACTAATCTCTGCACTCCGGCATTCAGTGATATCCTTATTATTTAGTATAGATGCATTCACGTTGCCACGGGAGGTGGTCTAGAGGGAAGACTGTTTAATGTTTTTCTCCCTTTAATACCTCCAATAACATGTTTGGACGAAACACAGGCTGCAGCTTAACCAGCCGGCCTGAACTTGGGAGTGCTATCGCAATGTGTGTCTTTATCAGATTCGACCGCTCCCTTCCACAGTGGAAAGGAGCAAATGAATCAAAGGAACCAGAGGCAAAAGAGACAGAGCAAAACAAAAGCAAGAAACTGTGACGGACTGCCAGCAAGGGAGTATCGGGCTCCCAAATAGATACTTCTGAAGGGGCTTAAAAGAGTTGCATGAATGCTCTCCCACAATGTAAGCATCCGAGTCCTAGAATCACAGAATCATAGAATGTTAGAGTTGGAAGGGAACTTGCAGACTATCTAGCCCGACCCCCTGCACTCTGCAGGAGCATAGCCTAAAGACAGCCCTACAACATACCCGAAAGATGGTCATCCAGCCTCCACTTGAAAACATCCAGCGAAGGAGCATCCACCACCTCCCGAGGCAGACTGTTCCACTGCTCAACCACTCTTACAGTTAGGAAGTCTCTCCTGAAATTTAGCCGGTATCGACTCCCTTGTAATTTCCACCCATTCGATCTAGTCTTGCAATCCGGAGCAAGAGAGAATAGATCTGCTCCATCTTCTACATGACAGCCCTTCAAATACTTGAAGACTGCAATCATGTCCCCTCTAAGCCTTCTCTTTCCCAGGCTAAACAGACCCAACTCCTTCAGCCTTTCCTCATAAGACTTGGATCCCAACCCTTTCACCGTCCTGGTTGCCCTCTTCTGGACACGCTCAAGCTTGTCAACATGATCTGGACACGAGGCTTCTGTTAAGGCACCCTAAGATTGCATTAGCTTTCTCCGCAGCCACATCGCACTGCAGGCTCATGTTTAGCTTCTGATCGACCAGAACACCCCGATCCCTTTCACAT